TCTCATTCCATGTCAGCTTTTAGTCTTATATAGCTTTAGGCCATAGGGTGATTTCGAACATTGTAATTTTGCTTAATAATTTGGAAATTAAAATTCTGGGGAAGCCAGAATGCTGTATGAAGAAAGGCTGCTTTGAGCAAGGAGCTAGGTCAGGGTGCGTTCAACTGAGGCCTTTCTTCACTGCCTTTTTGTCTTGTCCCAGTTGCTCCCCATTTATGACCAAAATCAGCCCAGATGCCTCTCGTCATCTGGGATGTAGAGCATCAGCCCAGCTGTGTTCAGTCCTGTGGGGCCATTGAGTAAGTTCTTGGTACATGAATACAGGGCAGGCCTTTACCAGACCCTGAGCTCCTGGTCCTCCCAGCACCACTGGGGTATTTAGGGGAGGCTTATGGGGGAGGGGGTTGATAAGGAGGGAGAGGTCTGGGGATGAGGTTGAGGCAAAAGTGACTTCTTGGGGACTTTGCTTTTTGGAGAAGCAAATTTCCTGCTTCCTGATTTCAGCCCTTCAACTCTGGTGTGGAGTCAGGAAGCCCTTTAAATACCTGTTATTGGGTGTATCATGTCAAGTGTTGCATTAGCAAATGCCATGTACACTTGTGCTGCTGTCCTGCCTACCCCGCATCCTAGCACTTCCTTGGGACATGGGAAGTTCTGTCTGGTTTGTGAGGTGGCACTGGGGATGTCGAGAAACTGTTTACACAGTTTCCCTTTGTCCTGGGGATTTACTAAGGGAGTCGAGGCAGCCCGACCCCAAAGTATCACCCCTGGACACTATGACTGAAACATTTTCCTAGTGCCCAAACCAAGAACACCCTTCCCATTTTTTTTTCATTATATTACATCATTATGTAATAATACAAGTCTGTCTTCTCATTTTTTAAAAGTCAGAAGTATAGAAGAGCAGAGAATAATGTCCAAGGGGTCCTCCTTCACCTCCCCCGTGCAGTGTCAGCTAAGTGTGGTGTGTGTCTTTGCAGATCTTAGGGGATTGTGATCCTTCAGACCATTCTAAACTGGGGTGGTGTTGGGAGTTAGGGAAGACATGAAGGGAGTAGTGGAGAGCTGCAGTGACTGGAGTCTTCATGCCAGGGTGGAGAATGCAAGGCCCAGGTCATCAGCCATGTGCCACGGGATTTCTGACTGCCAGGAGCTGTTTTTCTGTTCACTGGGGAGGGAAGAGTTAAATGTGGCCTGCTTTTTTCTAAGTCCCTTCAGCACAGGGAGTGCTGACTTGTCTTGTTCAGGCAGTAAGTTCAAGATGAGCTCAGGAAAGAAAGTGAGAGGACACTGAGGGCTAGCATGGTTGAGCCAAGTGTGATGGGACTTAAAGGGAGAGGATTTTAAGAATAAGGAGTTTATGGGCTGGGTGTGGTGGCTCACACCTGTAATTCCAGCACTTTGGGAGGCTGAGGCGGGCGGATCACTTGGGTCAGGAGTTTGAGGCCAGCCTGGCCAACATGGTAAAACCCCGTCTCTACTAAAAATACAGAAATTAGCCGGGTGTGGTGGTGTGCACCTGTAATCCCAGCTACTCAGGAGACTGAGACAGGAGAATCACTTGAACCCGGGAGGCAGAGGTTGCAGTGAGCCAGGATTGCGCTACTGCACTCCAGCCTGGGTGACAGAGCGAGACTCTGTCTCAAAAAAAAAACAAGAAATGGAGCTTAGATGAAAATAGATGAGAATGGAAACCATGAGAAGTGATGATGGCCAAGGACATGAGGACATGACAGTTCTGATGTGGAGGTAATAGGCGATGTCTCTTCCAGCGACTGCTAATAATTGAGACAAACTCAAGGCATTCATACCCTGTGTCCAGTAAACATCTGTGCCCATTGCCAGGTGAGCTGGAGTGAAATGGGCCAGCTGCTCAGCAGACACCCTCATGCCCCAGTGGCTCTGTTCCCTTTGGGCCACCTCAATGACTATTTGTGTTTCTACATCTCCTAAGTTTGTTGGGCCAAGGAGGGAGGCTGTCTGCCATCAGGGTCCTCATTGCTGTTAGTAGGAATAGTTGCTGACATTTCATTGTGTGTTTATTGCATTCTAGGGACTGTGCTAAGTACTTTATATAAATGAATGTACTTCATTTTCACAGCTCTGTGAATAGGTACTATTATTAGTCAAGTAAGCGATGGGGAAACTGACCAGGGAGTAATGAAGTGACTTGCCCAAGGTCACGAGATGACATGATTGGAACCGAGAGGAGTGTTGTGGTTGGTCACGCCCCCACACCGCCTCTCATCTGCACCAAGGAGTTTTGTCCCATAGCCCAAGGGCCTTGGGGACGAATCTCAGTGGAGGCCCTTAGCTGGCCTGCCTGAGCCAGAAAACAGAATCGGCATTTTTCTGTCCTTGGTCGGCCAGCCCTGAACTGAGATGCGGAAATGGCCTTTTGCTGCCTGGTAGAAAATGGAGCTGCAGTTACTGACCACCAGGCAGAGAGAGGTGGGTCCCTGTCGCAGCCTCAGCCACCACTCTGCCTAAGCTGTGGGGACTAAGGGCGCTATCATTAGCTGACTACAGAAGGTGAGCTCACGCTGTGGCGTGTTATGTTTCAGATGTCACATGTTGTGTTATTGTGTCTGCAGGGCCCTTTGCCTAACACATGCGGTCACTTTTGGGAGATGGTGTGGGAACAGAAAAGCAGGGGTGTCGTCATGCTCAACAGAGTGATGGAGAAAGGTTCGGTAAGTCTCGGATTCATCTGCTGTGTATGTGATCATGCGCACCACTCCATACAGTTAACATTTCATCCAGATTTTTAAATTATTTTTCTTGCTTTTGTATTTCCTTTATGTAGTATTTTTATTTAAAAAAATTAAAACAGCAGCAAATAAATGCATGTTGGTCATCAACCACTTAATGAAGTGAATGAAAGGGAGGCGGCGGAAGAACTGCATGGACCTCTTCGCCCACACCTTCTCCAGAGCGCGGTGCGTGTGGTGCTCCGCCCACCTGCGCTGCCTTTGCGGCTCTCGTCACAGTGTGGACTTGTGTGTGGAGTTATGGAGACCTACTTTTATTGAAAAGCAAATTCTTAGTACATCTTCATGGTGATTTTTTGTCTGGTGAGAGTGTGGCTACCTCTGCGGAGCTGTGGGAGTGGCTGACTCTAGATGAGATTTGCCTCAATCCAATACCCAGACGCTTGCCCTGCCATACCTCTTCGGAGTGAGCATTGACTTCAGGATGTGTGTCATTCTAAGTTCTTGCAACTTTTCAAACACCCCTAGGGCTAGTGTGTGGCTGCATGGTGTCCATTTGTGCAGGCCACCACTCCTCTTGCATCTGGGTCTAGCCACCTCTCCTTCTCAACTCACCACAGTTCATTTTTGTACCATGCTTCCAGAATGAGCTTTCTCAAATCCAAGTGTCACCACAGTTCTTCCTAGCTGAAAACGTTTGTGTGGTTCCCTTTGCCTCACAGGTTAGTGCATGGTGTGGCTTACAGAACCCTGCAGGTCTGGCCCTAGGCCCCTGGACACAGACCTCTCACCGCTCTTGGAACTTTAGCCAGGACAAACTTTTCGTTTTTAGTTTCTTACCATGTTCTCTGGGCCAAGGAGTCCCAGTGCCCATGCTCATCCCACTTCCAGGCACCCCTGGATGGCTGCCCACAGCTCCCCAACTGCCTGCACTCTCCCTTGCCCTCCTCACTCTGTTGGAATAGCTGAGGATAGCCGATCTCTGGGCAGCCACTCTCCTGTGTAGACTGTCTGTGTAGACTGTCTCTGTAGACCGTCGTGTATAGACTGTCCTGTGTAGACCATCTCTGTAGACCATCATGTATAGACTGTCCTGTGTAGACTGTCTCTGTAGACCGGCCTGTGTAGACTGTGTAGATAGTCTATGTAGACCGTCTGCCCGTGCAGGCACAGGCCAGCATTCAGCAGGGCCACAGGCTCCTTGGCCTCCCTGCCCTCGCTGCTCCCCAGCACTGCCAGCCCTGCTGCGGGGTCCAGGAGGAGACGAGCTAAGGATCGTGGAGACCAATAGGAACGTGTGGCCCAGGAGCAGGGAACTGGGTGTCCCTGGGCCTTGCCAGGTCCAGGCTCAGCTGGGACATTGTTCTCACAGTTGTCCTGGTTGCCTCCAGCCACAGAAGAACGTGGGGGCTCCAGGGAGGCCACCTTCCCAAAAAAAAGCACAGTCGTGGCCCTAGAGTGTAAAAATCCAAGTGTTAAGAAGCAACACATCAAAGGAAACTTCAGCAGTGAAAACTTGAAGCATTAACCACAAAGCCTCTCCCTCCACCACACACAAAGAAACGGCTTTAGTTACTCGCAGAAAGCCTTCCTCTTGGGACAGCGCGTGTTTAAAATCATAGGGGTTTGGTTTGGTTTGTTTTGGGGTTGGGGTTTTGTTTTGTTTTTTTGCCTTTGCCTACTTTTTTAAAAAATGAAAGTATTTATTTGCCCAATAATAACAGATAGGGAGCTTGCCTGAGTGTTCTGTTGATGATATAATGTATCTTGTCTTAGAAAATAACTTTTTCAGTGAAAGGTGGTTTTTAAATTTTTTCTTCCCTCCTTAGTAGCTTGATTAGTAAAATGTGAAGTTACAAATGTGAAGCAAACCCCTACTCTTCACCACTCGTCAGCAAGTTTGAGTAAAGAAACAAAGCATCAGGTTCCCACGGCGCACACACTCTGCGAGGGAGGGGGAAGCCTGGCGGCCTGTGGAAGCCTTCAGCACAGCTCCATCTGCAGGCTTCTGACCCTCAGCACTACTGATACTTGGGCTGGATCATTCTCTGCTAGGGATCCGGACAGGGACTGGCTGTGCTGGGCATTGTAGGATGTTTAGCAGCATCTCTGGCCTCTACCCACCAGGTGCCAGTAGCACCCCCTCCCCAGATGTGGCAGTCAGCTGTGTCTAGACTCCAGACTTTGTCCAATGTCCCCTCGTAGGCCAAATTGCCCCTGGTTGAGAACCACTGCTCTAGATGGTATTGAGGGTTGGGAATTTTAAATCAAGACATTTATTCAGAAATTACCAGATACAGTAGCATTTGCTTTTTATTTATTTCTTTGTTGCTAAGTGTTTGGTAAAACCTCTTTGCTGTGAGCACAAGATTTGCTTTAGCAATCATTGTCACCTTACAGCAAGGGGCGGTGTCCACCGCTGTGGTTATGTGTTTGAGCAGTGTCCAGCACTGTAGTTACGTGTTCCAGCCTCACCAGGCCCTGTGCTTCATTGTCTGTCACCCAAGGCTGACCACAAATGGCCCACAGATCCACTGTGACAACCTTTCCCTTTGGGTTACTGTGGTGGCATCGAAAACATGGCTGGTTGGCTTTGCTGTAGTTTACTGTGATAACTGTGCCAGCAGTCCCTACTTTCCTTTGTTAAGTATCCCATTCCACTGGAGGATTACTTGGGCATGCAAATTGGCATGAAAAACAATGTATGGTTTGAGATTGTTAAAGTTTCTTTGGGATCAACATTTTCAATTCTGTATCAGCATTATCCTTCCCAGAGGGCTGGCTGGGAAGAATCATGAGAAGTTACAGTATCTTATTTGCTCAGCTAATCTAATTGTAAATGATCCACACAGCTTGTGGTAAAACCAGCTTTTGGGGAGTTTTCATTTAATGCATACTTGTTTTCTAATTTCCTTCCTTCACCAAATAGTGTAGGATGCTCCCTCTTACTTTTGGCAAACATGCCTGTTGTCTTTTGGGACCCTGGGCTTCCTGGAAACCAGTTATGCAGAAGATGATTGTGTGTGTTAGACTGGGGTCATCCAGATGGCTAGAGTTCTCACTGGTTCTGTTTAAGGATTGACTTTAGACACGTCAGTGTAGGCTGCACCATGGCGTAAGGGTTGGGATTGTTGTTTAGATGGGGGAAGTAAGCAAGGCCAGTTTAATTGGCCATTGCAGAATCTCACCTGTATCTCTCTCCTGAAATCCTCGCTAAAGCTGCCGTTTGCTTTCAGGTGCTTTCATGCACAAAACACTGCACTTTGTATCACAGGGTCCATATAATTCATTTTTCTCTCGTATTTAGTTCTCTGTGTTAAGAATTACTTACTTAGTTCTCTGTGTTAATAATTTTTGGCGAAACCAAATTACCTGTCACAGGGTTGATGTAGATGTCTTTCATAGGTTTTCTAAACACCGCCTGCCCACTTGTTTGGGAAGGCCCCAAGGACTCTTTAACATCTGCCTTCATGGTGGAAACAGCAACTACAAGAGATGCCAGCATGTTGGCACCGCCATGTTTCTCTGGTGCCAACCCAAGATAGGACTCAATTTGAGGCCTAGTGAAGAACTATGTTCTAATAAAAGTCTGTCTACTTTTCATGGCAGTATATATCAATGTAATAGGGTAACTGAAAATAGTGATCTTGTGCCTTTTAAAAATTTTATGTGTTTAAAACAAAAATTTCTATTGGAAATGGCAGGGCATAGCTTGCTGCTGTAGACACCTGAGAGTCCTTAAAAATAAATATTGGGTGATTGACACTTAGTTGTATGACAGAATTCCTCTTGTACAGTTCCAAAGTCTTAGTCTTTACCCAGATTACAGAGGGTTATTAGGCATTAGGTTTGGTTTTGAAAGTGAGTGCTTGCTGTCTGGAGGTGAAACTTAAGACTCATCTACCCTGCTCATGAGCTGAGGAATGGTGGCCTCTTCCTCCTGCATTTCTGTTCTTTGCTTCCTTCTCTGCTCACTGTGTGGAATGCGCACCCTAGCATGGGTGGTGTGGAACCTATCAGATCAGTCTCTTGTTTCTGGGGTCTTGAGGCATTATAAGATCTACTTGTTAGAAGTGTGGGATTAATGCATCTTTTCACATTCTTCTAAGTTCCTGCTTTCAGCTGCCACACCCACTGTGGCTAGGTGGGGGTCTTGCCATGTAATTAGCGCCTCCATGCTGAGTGGCAGAATTGCTTCAGTGGTGACAGATTGTCCCCATTCAAGAGTTCAGTTTTGGCAACTCATCACTGATCCAGGAAGGTGACATGGATGAAACTGGCTAAGACTTCAGACAGGCCCGTGTCCAGACTCTTCAGAAAGCTCTGTGGGCTTCTGGTCTGGCACTGAGAAGTTTGCTGCGATGCTGGCATCACAACCTGGTGTTTCTTAATTTGTTTCTCCCACATTTTGCTTTGGTTTTGTCTTTTGGGCAGCTTCCAGCTTTAGCAGAGCAGGACCAATAGGCATTTGTGGTTCTATATTCACCCTCCTCAAGTGCTTCCTGGCTCCTCATTGCCCCCAGATGATGCCACAGGTCCGTGGGCCTGCTGCCAGTCAGCTGTGATCTGGGCCTCTGCTGCCCCCTTCTCCAGCTGCTCTTTTCAGCCTGGCTTATTTGCAGTCACTGCCTAGAAAATCCTAGTCATCTTTCAAAACCTGCCTCTTGCATAGAGCTTTCTCTGATCTTTCTTTCCTGTAACTTTGGCTGACCTAAAACATTTCCCTCTTCTGAATTCCTGCTGCCTGTCTGTAGCATTTCCCCCTCAGCCCTCCTCCATGGCCCACCTTGTCACTGCTGGGTACAGCAGTCTCTCCTCACAGACAGCTGGCCCTGAAGTGGTTCCCTTCACCCACACCATCCTTTGCCCCAGAGGAGGTATTGAGTGGGTCAGTGCACGTGAACTGCAAGTGTCATTTGCCAAAGAGCTGTTGACACACGCTGACATTTCTTCCGCTGAAAATCATAAGGGCTTTGAGCTTCCCTATGTCCAGGCACATGGTCAGGCTGACCCGGTAGCTCTGCCCCGGTTGATCTGCCATTTTTGTCCTCAACAGTTATCCATGAGCAGAAACGTTTGCATAACTGAGGCAGATTCAGTAAATGTCACTAAATTCGAGTCCATTTTTGTCTTAGACCCTAAATGAAACCAAATTTTCATAAATTTGCTTGTTTTAAAGAAAAATTTAACAAGCTACATTTAAATCAAGAACATCAAATAGTGTCTCAGATTATCAAAATAGAACATCAAAAGTATTTTTCTGAATGAACTGAACCAAATCAGAATGAAAGGGCAAGCCCTGGGGAGCCCGTCTCCAAGCCTTCTCTGAAAGGGAGTCTGCATTTGGTAACAACCGTTCAGCCTTTCCAAAGGGCCTCACCTGCTGTCTCTCCCAGTTTTATTTTTAATTGCCTGTGAGTTTTCTGTGCAGAGTAAGGCACCTACATTCTATGCCAGCAGCCTGATCAGGTCCTGTGTAATGTTTGAAATGGCTACATAGAGGAGTTTCAAAGCCTTTTGTACAATCTGGCTTCACCTCATAGACTGTGAGAAAGCGTCAGAGCCCTGCAGGACCCCATTGCTGTGTTTGACCAGGGAGCTGATGGGTTTGGAAGTCTGAGCCCTGTCTGCACAACCTGCCCCAGTCAGCAGCCTCGTGCCCCCACCCCCATCTCCCCATGAGGCAGGCATCTGTGCTGACCATGGCTTCCATGTTCAGAAAACCCCAGGTCTTTGGTTATCATGAAGCTTGTGGGATGTGCTCCAGGCCTCCTGCCATAGGAAAACGGTTGCTCACAATAATTCACTGTTATTTGTTCCCCCAGTTAAAATGCGCACAGTACTGGCCACAAAAAGAAGAAAAAGAAATGATCTTTGAAGACACAAACTTGAAATTAACATTGATCTCTGAAGATATCAAATCATATTATACAGTGCGACAGCTAGAATTGGAAAACCTTACAGTGAGTATGGCACGCACTTCAGCACTTCAGGGGGCTACTGGTTCAGATGCCTCTTCCTTTATCCCTTGGGTGATATTACCTCATGCCAGTGTTCCTGGCTTTTGTATACCCCGAGCAAGATGTGGTTTTGGCACTGAGGTGAGCGGAGCTTACTTGTGCACCTACCAAGTGCCCAGGAATGCCCAGGGAGGGTGGAAACCACAGTGCTCTCTCTGACCTTTAACAACAGTTAACACCGGTTCTTAGGGAAAGGAGAGTTTCTGACCCAAAAGACTGGTTCCTGCTTGTGCAGCTGCAGAGGGACCGAAGCGGCAGTCTGCAGGTCCCAGCGGAGCATGCTGCCTTCTTTGTGGTCCTCAGTCTTTGAGTCTGAAGAGAGGGAAGAAGGGGTCTGGGGTCTCACTCCAGTTTTATAGCTAGTGGAAGTTTTCTAGGCCTGGTCTTGGGTTTATTTGTTGTGGGAAGAGTTTATAACACCAGCTACTTGCTTGGTAAAAGTTGGTCTTGGGACATGGCAAGGCATTGTGGTAAGCAGCACCACCACTGAAGGCTCTGCTCCTGGGGCTTCAGAATAATTCCCCTGGATCCGTAACTTGGAGGTGTTCGTTTCATTCTGGGGAACAGTGGAGGGAGTGCGAGGCAGCACCTGGGGGCGCCAGTGAAGGTGGCAAGCCACCAACCTCTGGAACCTAACTGGGGTGGAATCCTGGTCGCAGCTTACCAGCTCGTCACGGTGTCTCCGTGTCCTCTTCTGCGAAACGCAGGTTTTCCAGGGTTCTGGGGGGTCCTGTGTGGGAAGGGCTAGCAGTTACCGCGGGTGTGTAGCGCGGGCTTTGTCTGAAGGGAAGATGGAGCTGTAGGGAGACCATGTGGACTGGGGCTCCGGGGCTGTGTGGGTGGGGAGGGATCTGCTTCTGGGTGACCCCATGCCTCCCCTTCTCACGCACTACTTTTTAATCATTGTGGTTCCTGCCATTCATTTCATAGTTGATGTAAACCAGCTGCGGTGGCTCATGTCTTTAATCCCAGCACTTGGGGAGGCTGAGGCCAGGAGGATTACTCTCGAGGCCAGTAGTTCAAGACCAGCCTGGGCAACATAGCGAGACCCCTGTCTCTACAAAAGAAAAACAAAAACAATTAGCCAGACATAGTGGTACTCCCCTATAGTCCAGCTACTCAGGAGGCTGAGGTAGGAGGATTGCTCATGCCCAGGAGTTCAAGGCTGCAGTGAGCTATACTTGCACCACTGTACTCCAGCCTGGGTGACAGAGCAAGACCCTGTCTCAAAAAAAAAAAAAAAAAAAGAAAAAAGAATAGTGAAAGTAAGATCTAGAATTTAGCACAGGTTACCAGGAAGTAGGGAAGGGGTTCAGGCTGCCTGGCTCCTGAGGACGGTAGCAGTGCAGCTGCTGCGAGTGCTTTCTGCCCTCTGGTGGTGACCGCTCCAGAGTCAGCAGTCCTGCCATAGCCCTGGTAGGGCAGAGGGGCTCTGAGTACAGTGGATGGAGGCGCTTTCTGGAAGATTCTCAGGAGTAACATGGGCAGCATGTTGGAATGTGCTAGAGGATTTATGCAGTAGACTTTTAAAAAAATGCTTTTTAGCGTTTGCAAACCTGACATTAAGAGTGACTTCTGGGGAACTCTTTGCTTGTTGAGGGAAACTGAATTTCAACAGAGCAGAAGAGCTGTGTGCTTTTTGCTTGGCAGAATGAATACAGCCAGCTCAGAGGTTTTGATGTTAGGATCTGTTTGCTCCAACAGACTTTGTTTTTAAAAGGCTTTTCTCAGCCATGGCTGTCTGTTCTAGCACAAGGCTGGAGTGAATTCCTTGTGAAAGATGTGGGCAGGTGTGAGGGAGGGTATCAGTGGGCGGTAACCCACACCTTCAAGGATTAAAAGAAAACTTGAGTTTGGCATGCTTGCTTCTTACTCAGTTTTAAAATACATTTTAACGGCCAGGCGCGGTGGCTCACTCCTGTAATCCCAGCACTTTGGGAGGCCGAGGCAGGTGGATCACGAGGCCAGGAGTTCAAGACCAGCCTGGCCAAGATGGTGAAACCCTGTCTCTAGTAAAAACACACACACAAAAATTAGCCGGGCGTGGTGGCGGGCGCCTGTAATCCCAGGTACTCGAGAGGCTGAGGCAGAGAATTGCTTGAACCTGGGAGGTGGAGGTTGCATTGAGCCAAGATCATGCCACTGTGCTCCAGCCTGGGCGGCAGAGCGAGATTCTGTCTCAAAATAATAATATTAATTTTTTAAAATACATTTTAAGTCCTTTTCTTCCCCACTCACCTGCACGCCCCAAATAGAAGAAATATTTCTTTTTCTTTAATGTCATTAAGGTTATATGGATACCATTTTCTAGAGAGGAAAGAATGATGGAATTGCCTAGTATGATTCTAGCAATTATCCTAACATACACAAATTTCTCCTTGTTCTGTGCAAGATACTGTATTTAATATTTAATAAATATTAAATATTATTTACTAGTGTAGTTAATGGCTGAGGCAGGGTTAAATATGTATTATTTTCATCCCAGCGGAGTTGGGGGAGGTCCTAGTAACTCTGCCATGAGCTCAGTGAGGGTGAAGTGGTATCTTTGCCCCCGCCTCCGTGGCACGGTAACTGGCACATGGTTGGCATAGTGTGGACATTCGTCAAGTGAAGGAAGACATCATGAGCAGATCTCTGGCCTGAATCCTTCTGCCATCAGCTGCTCTCCAGGTGGCCCTGGCACTAGGCCACAGGGAACCCCTCCAGGCTGGTATGGTTCCTGTCTGTGGCTGTCTTCCTGGGCCCATGTTAGGAGACTTTCACTTCCGGAGCCCTTTCCCCCTCAGGGCATTGCTTACCAGGTGGTTGGTTCCCATTTACTATGAGCTCTTAGGTCACTGAAGATGTTGGGCACTCCCCCTAGTGAGGGCTGCCTTTTGATCACAGCTGCCGGAAGCCTCAAGGAAGGAGCAGAGCTGGAAACAGACCCCAGGCCGTTGTTTCTGTTCCTGTGGGGCAGACTCAGCCAGGGGAAGAGACACTCTGGGACAAGGGCTGGGCTCCACCTTTCAAAAGTGTCTGCAGCAGGCTTTGAGCATGGACTCTCTGCCTCCAAATGTCCACCTCCTCCTCAGGAAAATGGATGGGAGTGCCTGCCTGGAGCAGCTGGTGGGAGAGCGCAGTGCCAGCACCCAGGCTCGGTTCATGGGCTGATGTCGTTCGCCTTGACTACCTCGTCAGCTGAGTGTTGAGCCACACCTTGGAGTCACCAGTCTTTGGAGACCAAGTCTGTTACTTTTTTCTCTAAAGTGACAATCCTCTGAAACCTCCAGATCATCTTGAAGCCCTGTCTGAAAGTTGCCCAGAGCCAGTGCCTCACCTGCTGTTCCTTGTTCACTTTTTCATGGGAGGCCTTGCAGGGCTTCATGACAGGATTTTGTGGGTGGCCACGCAGCATCACTGTGACTCGTGAGACAGAGAGAAACCAGTTGTGACCATGTAGACAGTAGAAGTGATAGGGAGAAAAGAGAAAAGAGGTGAGGGGACTCGTCAGTCGGAAGGGACGTGAAGTCTAAGCAGGTGCACCCTGCAGGTTCAGTGTCAAGCCCAGGGCCTGGCCCCAGGGCGTGGTATTTGTTGACTGGGTGTGTGGACGCTGGGAGAGAAAGTCTGAGAATTAATGTTCCTCTTAGAGGTCAATGAGTGGAAGGTGATTCTGTGTGTACTTGGAATTAGTGATTTCTGTACAGATGATTCTCTTAGAATCATCGTAAGTATTTTTCTCTTTCAGACCCAAGAAACTCGAGAGATCTTACATTTCCACTATACCACATGGCCTGACTTTGGAGTCCCCGAATCGCCAGCCTCATTCTTGAACTTTCTTTTCAAAGTCCGAGAGTCAGGGTCACTCAGCCCGGAGCATGGGCCCGTCGTGGTGCACTGCAGTGCGGGTATCGGCAGGTCTGGGACCTTCTGTCTGGCTGATACCTGCCTCTTGCTGGTAAGGAGGCCCTTGCGGGCACCCTAGGGAGCTCCTCCACCTGCTCTGCTGTGATGTTTTTTCCTAAATAGAAACTGAAGCACTCCTCTTCCAAAATACAGAGACTCACTGTGTTAGTCTGTTTTTGCGTTACTAATAAAGGCGTACCTGAGACTCGGTCATTTATAAAGAAAAGAGGTTTAACTGGCTCCCGGTTCTGCAGGCTGTACAAGCATGGCGCCAGCACCTGTTCGGCTTCTGGGGAGACCTCAGGGAGCTTCCGGTCATGGTGGAAGGCGAAGGGGAGCAGGAGCAAGGGATGGGCAGGTCCCGACTCTTAACAACCAGATCTCTTGTGAATGCATTGCCTCAGGGAGGGCACCAAGCCTTTCATGAGGGACCTGCCCCCCTGACCCAGACACCTCCCACCCAGCCCCACCTCCAACACTGGGGATCACATTTCAGCATGAGATTGGGAGGGGACAGACATCTACCTGTGTTAGTCACACTGCCCTTGAGAACTGGACCTGGCTGACTTACGTCTCCTCTCTGGCTTTCAGATGGACAAGAGGAAAGACCCTTCTTCCGTTGATATCAAGAAAGTGCTGTTAGAAATGAGGAAGTTTCGGATGGGGCTGATCCAGACAGCAGACCAGCTGCGCTTCTCCTACTTGGCTGTGATCGAAGGTGCCAAATTCATCATGGGGGACTCCTCTGTGCAGGTCAGCATTGCCTTTGTTTGAATCCAGGTGTGACCATTTTAACTTTTTTGTCTTTGAAGGAGGCTGTCAGTTGTAAAAGTTCAAACACCGTCTGGTGTCAGGGGAAATAGCTACCCTTCATGTTTAAAATAGCTAGAAAGTTGTCAAAATGTTCACCATGTTGCACTTTGTGCCTTTGAAGTGCTCACAGAGAGCATCGATAGGAAGAAGAGACTTTATTTTCAAAAGATTTCATCTTCCAAGTACATGGCTGCAGCCCCGAGAGGCCGAGAGCCCCTCGCCAAGCCGCCACCTCTGCTCACGCAAGGGGACTTCCTGACAAGCCAGCCGACGCGAACACTAATAGGACTTCCTCTTGCTGCTCTTTCAAGGATCAGTGGAAGGAGCTTTCCCACGAGGACCTGGAGCCCCCACCCGAGCACGTCCCCCCACCTCCCCGGCCACCCAAACGAATCCTGGAGCCACACAATGGGAAATGCAGGGAGTTCTTCCCAAATCACCAGTGGGTGAAGGATGAGACCCAGGAGGATAAAGACTGCCCCATCAAGGAAGAAACAGGAAGCCCCTTAAATGCCGCACCCTACAGCATGGAAAGGTAATATGATTGGGTCCCAGCTTGTTGGGTTGAGGGGAGATGACCTTCTATTCTAGAAACACACACTGGTACTGAAACCCTGTGGACGCAGCCTCCTGTTGGCAAGCAGTGCTTCCGCATCCTTGGGGAACAGGGCGTGTGGACCACAGCCACTCCACTCCTGACTGCGGGAGGCCCGGTATTGGGCACAGGGTGGCCGCAGGACATGAGCCACTTCTGTGGGCTTCTAGTGCCACCTTGTGGTGCTTGTTGGAATGAGGGGCTCGGTGCCACCGAGTAGCATTTTTCTGCCCCCTGATGATAGCGCCCTCCCCCAGGCTTCCGGACAGTCCTGAAATGTGATGTCCAGGCTTGACCATGTGCCCTCAGTCCCCACAGTGGTCCTTTGGGGACTGTAACCTTTTTTATGTTGTCTTGATTAAATCCCATTTTACTTCCTTGCAGGTTAACAACCATTATTGAGTACCTATTGATATGTGTGGTGTACTGAGTTAACTAGAACATGTCCCCTGGTCTGTGTTCTAGATCATCTTGTTGGGAAAAAGGCAGACCCAAAGCATATTTTGGTGGGAGCCCATGGACAGTGATGTGATAGAGGTGTCCACTGAGGTGGTCAGGAAAGGCTGCTTGCAGTAGGTGGCCGTGCACAGAAAGCTTGCAGAACGAGCAGGTGTTAGTTCCAGCTGGAGATGACTGCCGGCCGTGCCCTTGGTACCTGCTTTCCGGAGGGAAGTTTTAAGACGTGTGCATACTTGATCCAGCAGTTGTATACATGGAGAAATTTACCCTGCAGCGACTCTCAAAATAAGCATGTAAAGATGTGTATAGGTAGTTGTGTTTGTTGTCGCATTGCTTGTAGTAGTGAAAAATTAGAGACAAGCCAATGATATAACCAGGGACCTGATCAATTATGTTCTCTCCCGGTGTTGGGATATTCTATAGCTCTTAAAGAATGAGATCTGGGTGTACTGATGTGGCCAGACATTGCAATTGCAGTACATGAGAAGGCAAGTCATACAATAGTGTGTACACCAGTGGATCCTCCAGCCAGATAAATCCTCACAGTGCCCAATCGCCCAGGCACCTTGTGAACCCTACCCTGGGTGTGGGTGCTGTCTGAAGTACCTGGGGGAGGGGGTGACAAGTGGACTTCAGGCTGTTGTGGGCCCTGGCCTGGCCCTCCCGCCAAGAAGAGGGGCTGGCTCGCTGGAAGGTTAACATCACCCTACTCTGTCTACACGTGGCTTGTTTTTTCCCAGAATTCCTGCCACAATAGCAGCATCCTTGCCATTCACTTTCTCCAAAGTGAGTAAACCATCTCTGCCCCTCTGATTCCTCAGCATGAGTCAAGACACTGAAGTTAGAAGTCGGGTCGTGGGGGGAAGTCTTCGAGGTGCCCAGGCTGCCTCCCTAGCCAAAGGGGAGCCGTCACCGCCTAAGAAGGAGGAGGACCATGCACTGAGTCACTGGAAGCCCTTCCTGGTCAACATGTGTGTGGCTACGGTCCTCACGGCCGGCGCGTACCTCTGCTACAGGGTATGTTTCCACTGACAGACACGCTGGCGAGATGCTCGTGTGCAGAGAGCACTGGCCGCTAGCCCGATGGTAGGATTCAGTTCTGTGGCGCATCTGAGCCAGTCTCAGAAGAAACAGATCAAAGGTTTTTAAAGTCTGGAACTGTGGAAGGGCTAACGAGAATTAAGGATCGATGCACTGGGGTTTTAAGGAGCCCTCTGGTCCCAAGAATATAAGAATCTAATCTCAGGGCCTTAACCTATTCAGGAGTAAGTAGAGAAAATGCCAAATACGTCTGTCTCTCTCTCTCTCTCTCTCTTTTTTTTATTCCTTTGTTTTTGGAAAAAAATAGAATTACAACACATTGTTGTTTTTAACCTTTATAAAAAGCAGCTTTTTGTTATTTCTGGAAAAAAAACAAACTAGGCACTTAACAAAACTTTCTCGTACCCTTAGGTGATGTAATTAGCTATATAATTTATATTTGATTTCCCAGGGAAGGAATCCCAAACTTTTACGAATGTAAACTCCCTTGGAGAAGAGGGTTAGGACGCTCTTGCGCTCAAGCCCCCCTCAGCTGTGTGCACACTGAGCCAGGACAGGGTCTTTGAGCTTTCCCACTGTAAGAACAGCAACACAAGGCCGTCTAGAGAAACAGAACCTGCCTCTGCTTCTGCTCAGGGTGTCCATTGTCCTTTCTCCATTGCTCCCTCCTGTGACAGCCATCTTGCTCATGTACCAGCCCTCATCACCCCATTCCCATAAAAGAGTGTCCTCGAGGCCTCTCCCTGGGGGTCAGAGGTCACCACAGGGTGGCCCTCAGCATGTCAGCCCTCTGTTAATTCAGAGGAGTGGGCTCCACCTCATTGGGAGAAGTGCCATTTCAGCAGAAAATCCACACGTTAGACGTGTGTTGCTGTTAAGTAAGGGGAAGAGAGGACTAGCCTCAGAGCTCTGGCCATGGAAATGACCTCCTGAGACTTTTTCATCGTTTTAAATATTTTACCTCTTTTCAGGTGGCCATCTGGGTACATCAGATGGTTTTGCAAAATGCAAACAATTTTTTTCCTTGGGGGTGATTTTTGGGGAGAAGGGGCTACTGTAAAAAATAAAACCAAAACCCCCTTTGCTCCCTCGGAGGTTGAAGTTGCCGGGGGGTGTGGCCGGGGTCGTGCATGAGGCGACAGCTCTGCGGGTGCGGGTCTGGGCTCATCTGAACTGTTTGGTTTCATTCCAGTTCCTGTTCAACAGCAACACATAGCCTGACCCTCCTCCACTCCACCTCCACCCACTGTCCGCCTCTGCCCGCAGAGCCCACGCCCGACTAGCAGGCATGCCGCGGTAGGTAAGGGCCGCCGGACCGCGTAGAGAGCCGGGCCCCGGACGGACGTTGGTTCTGCACTAAAACCCATCTTCCCCGGATGTGTGTCTCACCCCTCATCCTTTTACTTTTTGCCCCTTCCACTTTGAGTACCAAATCCACAAGCCATTTTTTGAGGAGAGTGAGAGAGTACCATGCTGGCGGCGCAGAGGGAAGGGGCCTGCACCTGTCTGGAGGCTCGCCCCACCCAGGGCTCCCTCCTGGAGCATCCCAGGCAGGTGGTACACCAACAGCCCCCTTGACTCGCAGGGAGCAACTCTCCACTCCATATTTATTTAAACAATTCTTCCCCAAAGGTGTCCATAGTGCACTAGCATTTTCTTGAACCAATAATGTATTAAAAATTTTTGATGTCAGCCTTGCATCAAGGGCTTTATCAAAAAGTACAATAATAAATCCTCAGGTAGTACTGGGAATGGAAGACTTTGCCATGGGCCTGCTGCGTCAGACCAGTACTGGGAAGGAGGACGGTTGTAAGGCAGTCGTTATTTAGTGATATTGTGGGTAACGTGAGAAGATAGAACAATGCTATAATATATAATGAACACGTGGGTATTTAATAAGAAACATGATGTGAGATTACTTTGTCCCGCTTATTCTCCTCCCTGTTATCTGCTAGATCTAGTTCTCAATCACTGCTCCCCCGTGTGTACTAGAATGCATGTAAGGTCTTCTTGTGTCCTGATGAAAAATATGTGCTTGAAATGAGAAACTTTGATCTCTGCTTACTAATGTGCCCCATGTCCAAGTCCAACCTGCCTATGCATGACCTGATCATTACATGGCTGTGGTTCCTAAGCCTGTTGCTGAAGTCGTCGTCACTCAGCAATAGGGTGCAGTTTTCCAGGAATAGGCATTTGCCTCATTCCTGGCCTGACACTCTAGTGACTTCCTGGTGAGACCCGGCCTGTCCTGGTGCAGCAGGGTCTCGCTGTAACTCAGACATTCCAAGGGTATGGGAAGCCATATTCACACCTCACGCTCTGGACATGATTTAGGCAAGCAGGGACACCCCCCGCCCCCCACCTTTGGGATCAGCCTCCGCCATTCCAAGTCAGCACTCTTCTTGAGCAGACTGTGATTTGGAAGAGAGGCAACTGCTGGAAACCACACTTCTTGAAACAGCCTGGGTGACGGTCCTTTAGGCAGCCTGCCGCCGTCTCCGTCCGGGTTCACCTTGCCGAGAGAGGCGCGTCTGCCCCACCCTCGAACCCTGTGGGGCCTGATGGTGCTCACGACTCTTCCTGCAAAGGGAACTGAAGACCTCCACATTAAGTGGCTTTTTAACAAGAAAAACACGGCAGCTGTAGCTCCCGAGCTACTCTCTTGCCAGCATTTTCACATTTTGCCTTTCTCGTGGTAGAAGCCAGTACAGAGAAATTCTGTCGTGGGAACATTCGAGGCATCACCCCATAGAGCTGTGGTGAGGTGTGGATAAGGCTTAGGTGCCAGGCTGTAAGCATTCTGAGCTGGGCTTGTTGTTTTTAAGTCCTGTATATGTATGTAGTAGTTTGGGTGTGTATATATAGTAGCATTTCAAAATGGACGTACTGGTTTAACCTCCTATCCTCGGAGAGCAGCTGGCTCTCCACCTTGTTACACGTATGTTAGAAAGGTAGCGAGCTGCTCTGCTATATGCCTTAAGCCAATATTTACTCATCAGGTCATTATTTTTTACAATGGCCATGGAATAAACCATTTTTACAAAAATAAAAACAAACAAAAAAAGCAAGGTGTTTTGGTATAATACCTTTTCAGGTGTGTGTGGATACGTGGCTGCATGACCGGGTGGGTGGGGGGGCGTGTCTCAGGGTCTTCTGTGACCTCACAGAACTGTCAGACTGTACAGTTTTCCAACTTGCCATATTCATGATGGGTTTGCGTTTTAGCTGCAACAATAAAGTTTTTTTTCTAAAGAACGTGAATTTGGGGTGCTTCCCATTTTTTTTTCTTTGCTTAATTGAGCTAAACCAGGATGAGCAACTCCTGTTTCTTTCCATCCCTGCTGATGTGAAACAGATGTTGTCAATCAGCTGGGGTTAGAGTTTTCCACTTCTAAGAATTAACCTCAGCATCCCCGCGTTGCCAGCGCCCTCAGGCTGGAGCGCTTTCCTTGAGGGTGAGCTTATTGAACACCTTAGGCCTCAGCCCACTTCCTTCCCAAACCCACGCTTTCCATGTAGAGGGCCCTTGGATAACTTAACAAACTTATCAGTGTTGTTTGAAGAACAGTGTTTTGAGTTGTAATCTCAAAACCACGTCCCTTACCCAATTACCTGTAAGACACAATGGTTACCGCATCTCAGTATGTAAAGTCCATTTGATATAGAGTTGACTTAAAAATAAGATAAAAAATTAGTACAGTTTTTCATTTGTGTACAAAATTAAACAATGTAAAAATTCCCCCCAAAGTGATTTTTTTGACTTTTCGTTTTGAAGTAATTTTGGACTTGCAGAATGTTGCCAAAATAGTACAAAGAGTTCCCCGGTACCCTCCAAGGTTCTTCGACTGTTTCAAAGCTGGCTGCAGGCCCGGGCTCCTGAGACTGGGAAAAGGACAGGCTGTGGCCATGTGGACCCGCAGGGGCCTAGGGCTGCAGATGTCAGTGTGGCTCCCACTGTTTCAGGTATAAAAAAGGGCCTCTAAGCTTTCAAGAAGAGAACGCGCTAGGGCAATGGTCCCCAACCTTTTGGGCACCAGGGACCGGTTCCATGGAAGACAATTTTTCCACAGGCCTGGGGGTGGTGAGGGATGGTTTTGGGATAGAAACTTCCACCTCAGATCATCAGGCATCAGATTATCATAAGGAGCTTGCAAGCTGATCTCTCGCACAGGCAGTTCACAATAGCACATGCAGTTCACAATAGGGTTCGCGCTCCTATGAGAACCTGATGCTGCAGCTGATCTAACAGGAGGTGCAGCTCAGGCAGTAATGCTTGCTCGCCGGCCACTCACCTCCTGCCATGCAGCCCAGTTCCTAACAGGCCTCAGACCGGTACCGGTCCGTGCTGATGCTTAAAAAAAGAGGAGGGGGTTTGCCAGAAATCAGATGGGGCAAAAGGGCAAAGGCCGTGCCACAGAGTGCCCATATAGGGGAGAGCACGCCTGGAGCCTTCGAGAGCATGCAGAGAAGCCTGGAGACAGCGTTTACCAGAGCCGCTGCCTGAGGCCGCCCTCCTTTAAGTGTCCCCACAGCGCACCACAAGACCACAGGAGTGACCTCCCCACTGGCAGGTGTTTGGGGAAACAACCGCTGTCTACTCTTTTGGGTAAAAAGTGAAACACCAATTAAAATAGTTTAATTGAAATTTCAGAAAATGGAACATATGAACAAGGCAAATAAATACTAAGTTAAACCAAAAAGCACAAAATATGTACAGGAAGTATCGATGAGAATGTTCAAGTTAAAGTTCTCCAATGCCATTGCTACAGCAACCTCAAACCCTAGGTTCTGTCTGCACTATTAACACAGACATCTCAGGACATGGTTTGCTTTTTTTAAGACTTAAATAGGAAACTAATTTTCTTTCTTTAAAACAGTGTGTTCTTCAGTGAACTCTTTCTTCAGGCCAGTTGATGGCTTCTGTAACGGTTTATTGACGAGACCCTAGGGTAGCTTCCGAAGCTGGCTTGATTGCATTTGGGTGCGGATGGCCAAAGTGAGTGGCCCTGCTGCCTGTGCTACTCAAGGCTCCTGGGCTGATGTGGTGGCTTCTTCCGTTTGTGCTGCTGAACAGGGGGCAAATGAGGTTCTCAGTCCACCAGCCGCTGTTTGGGAGTTCCACCGGCACTCTGGCTGCAGGTCAGGCTGAGAGTGTGCATGTAGACACCCTGGCTTTGTGCCTTCCCGCCTTCCCCAGCTCACCAAGGTGACACCTGGCTGCTGCTGAAATGACCTGAGCAGTCTTGCATTAACAGGGCCAGCCACCTGCCAGCCTGCTGCATCCCAGCGCCTGTTGACCCAGAAGTGCCAAGCAGCTGACCGGCAGGGAGGCCTGGAGTTCTACACACTTGCCTTGGAGCCTTTTATTTAGGGCCTCGACTTGCCTGGCCTTGGCCCTTTTGTAGGTGGCCACCTAGTGCAGCTCAGCTCTGCATCCCTGGGAAGGTCACACAGACCCGCAGCCAGAAGTCGAGCACTCCACTGAGGCCTGGCAGCCCCTGCCTTGCTTTCTTCTGCTTCTGTACAGAAGACCAGCCCATGCCCTGGGGCTGGGTCAGTGGCCGGAGCCTCAGGCAGCGCTCTGGACAGCTCACACTCCTGGAGGAGTGCACAGCACCATTACCCAGCGCGCAGGCTACGTCCAAGCCGGGCAGCGGCAAAAAACCGATGTGAGATTTGTGCTCAACCACCAGGATTTTTTAAAATATTGTGATTTCAACATCTGCCTCCTGGCAAAAGACTTCTCTTTGTTCTGAGCAGAGCTTGTCCATCTTCTCAAAAGCTAACCGTCCTTTTTCACCTGAAATAGGAAAGGGACCTGTCACCAGATTGGATCCTGCCTTGGCACTTCCGACCCTCCTGGGCCAAGGTGGCCCTAGTGCTTAGTGACTGTGGGTCTCGGTGGTCTCTGCAAAGCGGCAGGGGAGGGAGTATGTGCGGGAGCCCCCACCTGGTGACTCACATGGCCTGGGGGGCCTTGCCTTTAACTCTAGGATGTCCTGCTGAATCGGAACCCCGCCTTGCCTCTGGCTTCTATCCCAAAGGTCATAGACTCTAAGAAGGTAGCGAACACTCCCTGGCAGGATGCCACAAAGGGTGAAGGTTGGCTCTGTGCCAGGGCTGCTAACGGTGCCCATCCCGGGTACCCCAGAGCTATTCTGCCTGCTGGGAGAGCTGGGTGTGGCCTCTCGCAGGTTCTGGGGGCCCCAGGAACTCCGCTGCGCTGCACAGATTGTGCCACTTTACCGAACGAGAGTGTGGTTTCCCGGGCTGCCGCCCGCACGGCCTCCAGGTCAGACTGGCACAGGCTGGCAATCTGGTCGATGCTTTCAATGCCCTGTTTGAGATTAGGAGAAAAAGAATCCTTTGGGGGCCTTCTCAACAGCAGGTAGAGTCCACTTAGCGGCCCTGCGGGGCCAGCCCTAGCGTGGTCTCTGGGGCCTCAGCCCCTTCTTTTTCTCCAGGCTTCCAGGTTTTTTAGGTGGCCTCAGGTGCATGAGAGGCACCTCTGGACTGTGGAAGTGTCTCACCTCTTCAGCCCTGACACCTGCTAGGGAGTCAGGCTGTTGGCAGAACTCGTCTTCCTGGATGCCTGCTGAAAGGCTAGAATTGAAAAGGAGGAGACCTGCTGCTTTCTGGACCTTCCTGCCTCCCCCATGCTCTCTTTACCCTACTCTCCAGGGCAGCCTGTGCCAGTACGCCCGACTCTGGCACATGCCCCCGGCGCGGGTTGCTCCTGCGGGCCAAGGACCGGCATGCGCTGCAGCGCCCTCTACTGGACACCCGGCCCTTGCTGGTTTTCTGATCCTAACCAGCTTCTCCTCTTAGAATTTCCCGTTGATTCATCCCAGAAAGAATGGGATGAGTGAGTTCAATCTGTATTGAACTATCTTTCTTCTAGCAGCTGTGCAATTCCAAATGCAGGTGAGGCTGAGGGAAAGCGGGCATCCCCTCACATCCATGGGATCTATGTGTGGGTTGTATCAAGAGTCTCAAAAATGCTCATATTCTCTGGCCCTAGAATTGGGTCTAGCCTAAGGAAATAATTCAGAACTCTATGTTTTTAAAGCTTTATGCACAAACATGATCACAATGACATGCTTTATGATAAAAATTGGATGAAGAAAACTATTTCCTATGACAGCGGGTGAATAGGTTAAGTTAAGGTGTATACTTGATAGCCCCTTCATACAGAATTCTAAAGTGAAAAAAAAAAGACCAAAAAAAAAAAAAAAAAACCACAAATAAAGAATTCTAAAGTGCTGCCAGTCTAACACAAAATGTTCTTGTTTTGTTGACTGTTTTTAAACTATGTTTGGATCAACAATTTTAAATGCTCACGCATACCCACAAACTTTTAAAAGAAGCATACCAAAATGTCAGCCCTTGCTTCTGCTACATTCTAGGATGATGGATAACTTTCTTTTCTATCTCTGTATTTTATACTTTTTTTTTTTTTTTTGAGATGGGGTCTTGCTTTGTTGCCCAGGCTGGAGCGCAGTGGCACGATCTCAGCTCACTGCAACCTCCGCCTCCCGGGTTCAAGTCCCGAGTAGCTGGGACTACAGGCATGTGCCACCACACCTAGCTAATTTTGTGTGTATGGGTTTTGCCATGTTGGCCAGGCTGGTCTCGAACTCCTGACCTCAGGTGATCTGCCCACCTCGGCCTCCCAAAGTGCTGGGATTGTAGGCCTGAGCCACCATGGCCCGGCCCCAGTGAAATCATTTTAAAGTTAACTAACCTTAACCCTAACCACAAGCAGGCTTCTCTGTCAGCCACTAATGGAGAAACGTCAGGCTCACCTTGAGCTGTCTGAGCGCCAGGCACGCGGCCTCCTGGAGCCTTGCATCGTTCTCTGCCAGGGCGTTGGTGTAGAAGAGCACAGCCTGGGGAGAGTAAGGAGGCTGTGAATGGAGGGGTGAGCAGAAGTGGAGTCCATGGTTCCGGGTCCATCAACCGCCAGGTGCCGACAGTAAGGCACGCTGTGCCCATCTTTCTCTAAACAACGTTCAGGACAGGATCAGTCCATCTTTGGGCCAGGTGTACACAGTCACAAGAGCTATACTGTGGTGTTTAATTTATCCCTAAAAACTGGTACCAGGGCTAATACAATGAAGAAAACTCCTTTTGTCTCATAATATTCCAGAAGTGCATTCTGAAACTGCTGTCTATAAAATGCTGAATTAGAGAAATCAGATGCCCAGCTCAGAACAACAAAAGAACTGATCATCCCATGTGCATCGCCCTCTTCAGCTGAAAACGGGCACCGCTGCTGCCTCAGGCCAGAGGGAAACCTGCCTATTCCCCTCAGCCCCCCTGTCCAGTCTCAGCGGTGACCGTGCCCTCTTCAGTCTCACGACCATGGCCACATCAGTTCATGTCTTCGGGCCTAACTTGACTCAGCTGAAAACAAAGCTGGCACTTGTTTCATGCGTTGCCGTGGGGTTTGTTAGAAAGCACTCGGGGTTGTGCCCGGCCCGCAGGGGAGTCCAGCATCTGCGGCAGCACAGGGAAACCCAGCAGTGGGTTTGTGCTCACTCAGTCGAGTGGCTGCACCTTCAACTGCACGGGTGGGGCGGTGGGGGGGCCCATCTGCGGGTGGCTCTCCGAAGTGTCTGCTGCTTTGGGAAGACAGGGAGACTGGGAGTAGGATCGGGTTCTCCCGCTCCTCCTACACAGGGCACTGGTGAAGGCTGTCAGGCCATATCAGTATGGAAATGTCACACTACCCACTGCCTCTAATCCCGGGGTGCCAGGTCATGGCAGCCCACTCCCTCCTCAGCACCCTCACCTGAGAGCAAGTGATCTGTCACTGGGTTGGCCCCCACCTCAGTGTTTC